GATGATGTCTATAATTTGATATAGGAATATCGATACATAAGGTTGAACAGCTTGTCCAGCTAACGGCGACCCAGCCTGGCCAAAGTTGAAGTTTAGATTTTTCAAATTTAAAGATGATTAGTTTGTTGAGCACACTTAACTGTATAAGGATATGAGTCGTATTTTTTCATTTACTCTGTTTGGTGAAAGAACGGAGCTTCAAAACATTGATTATAAATTAACTTTATTATTGTGCGTTTTGATGGTACAAAGAACAAGGGCTTCAGCAGACATTCTAAAGCGTTATATGAGAGAGCTTTGGTATAGAAAGAATCACAAATAGATGGGCTTTATTCTAGACTATCTGATAAGATATTCTTCTCTTTCTTAGTTTCAAAAGATTACCTCATAAAACTTCACCAAAAGAGGCATGAGTGCGTTACCATTTAGAGGATTTTTTATATTTCTCGCCCTTGTACAGGAGACATTTTTAGACAGAACTATCTATTATTACGTAACTTTTGATGGACTATAATACGCACTGTTAAGAATTTTTTAAAATCACATCCTTCAGGAAAATGAATGGTAACGCACTCATGCGACCTTTGTACGTCTAACCCTTAATTAGACTGTATTGATTATATTTTTCCTTCAGATTATTTATAAAATTGAAACTAAATGTTTAGATTTGTTTTATTTACTCATTACTACATGCACCTCTTCATTCTTATATTGTTTTCTCTGTGAATGGTTTAGTCAAATTCTTTTTTTTTTTGTTTTTCCACATAATGTATTTGTTCTGACTGTTACGATATACGATCGCTATTTTTCTTTTTCTTTTTCTTTCTTGACGAGATATTTTTATCTCTCCTCTCTCTTACTCATGAGTTATTTTTTCTAACTTTCGACTATATCCATGTCCGACGTCTTGTTCATCTCCCTATATATACCTCGCTTTTGGTGTAAATCAACGGTATAAGTGTTTGTGTCTAGTCAGTATACTTATCTTTGTCTATACACTAGCTAAACCTAGTTAATTAAATTCACAACATCTTAAGAAAATTGTCGTGATTTTCTTAATTACAAATCTATTAGCTTGAATCAATAATTTCTCTATAAAGGGTGGGCCAGAAGTGCTGATTCGATTTGTATAATAAATTTTTCTTTAGTAAAACGCGTGGTTGAAAATTGGTCTCTATGTAGAAAAGATGCAGTAAAAGACACTCTACAAAACGACTATTGATTAGCCCCACTAGCTCATCTAATAAGAAAGTTATAGGCTTAGAAATATACTTCACAAAAAAGAAAAATTAACCGTGAACTCGGTTTCGGTATTTATACTTTAACTTCTGTTCCTTAGGTCCTCTACAACAAATTCTTTTATCAATAGAAGGTCCGTGAAATTGTCTACAAAATTATACCTAAACCTTAATTTCAGAACTTCAATCAAGGAAACTAAGCAAATTATACACAGGCGAAAAAAACGAAAACTTTTGAAATTTGGTATTTTTTTCGACTTAAACTTTTTACTCTCCTATTATTTCCATAAAAAAGCATAGCAAATGTGAGAACTCTGTTTGTGTTTGGTACTTTCAAATGTGCTCTTTCTCCCGGGCTTTAGAAGATACTTTTTTAGCGCCGATGGAGTGCGTGAAAACCAAGTTTCAAAAATACGTCAAAAATCGACAAGCCCGTTTCCGACGGTGTACCCAGCAAGAAATGAAAACTATGATCAAAGTTTTGATCTTGTAGGTAGGTTAAGAGAGTAATCACTTCTGATCAAAACAAAACAAACCCGATCGAAAAACCTTTCGTTTTGATGGAGTTATGGGACTTTTACTGGAATCATAACTATGTACATCGGGCTCCCGGTTAATTTTTCTTTTTTGTGAAGTATATTTCTAAGCCTATAACTTCCTTAGTAGATGAGCTAGCGAGGTCAATCAATAGTCATTTTGTAGAGCGCCTTTTACTGCATCTTTTCTTCATAGAGACAAATTTCCGACCATCCTTTTACTAAAGAAAAATTGATTATACAAATCGAGTCAGCACTTCTGGCCCACCCGTTATATTATTATAACAAAAAAGCGTTTTTTTGTATCATATTATTATAAGGAAAAGTGTGTACTTTTTTTATAAGAAATAAATGAATTTCATTATAACGTTCATTCTGAGTTGTTTATAAATCGTTTAAACAAAGCTTTGGTGCATAAACATTGAATCTAAAAAATTCTTAAAAAATCCTGCTGAGTGCGTTACCGAAATCCTTTAGTAATAACTCTTTATAGAAATAAGCTTTCAAAAAGCAGATGCCATGATTATCAAGCCCATCATCTTAGCTACAAATTCATGTGACAATATTTTTTTAACACACAGAAATTCGTAGCAATATAATATTCTTTCGCATGGGGATGATGACAAGGGGCCTTTTAAATGAGTGCGTTACCACGGTTTCCTGAATCTCTAAAATCATGATAGTAGAATCAAATGAGGTCAAACTTTTAGCAGAGACAGATCTTCCAACTATCTCTTAGCACTATAAGTTTCAGGTCTTTACTACGTATGACTCTTGAGTTATGGAGATTGGAAGGTCAAAAATAGGTGAGTGCGTTACCTGTGGACAGGCTGTGAACTATTCTAACGGTACTCTATACAGGATGCTCCATGAATAACTTGACGATAAAAATTTTAAATATATTCGCTCTCCTTTACTCAATCGAGTTGAGCCTTTTTCAGTAATGGAGTCCTGATTAAAGTGAGTGTGTGTACGAAAACCGTCGACAGAGACTGATGTATGACCTAACACTATAAATTTCAATTCAATATAGAAGTACAATATTGAGTAAAATTATCCACCATGAGAATCTCAACCGTTCTTAGGACAATGAGTCTAAGATTTTTAGCGTATATACCACTTTGGAAATGTGAGTCAGTGAGATCGATCTGCCCTCTATTACTTGAATTGAAGTGAATCAATAACGTATGAAAACTCCTGTCACTATTTGTCAGCAAACTTAATGACAGAAGGATATTATGACCTGGTTATTCTTTCATCGTTTAGTCCTTCATTGTGCGCATCTATCCTTTAAAGGACAGAGGCGTCTAAGAGCTTGTTTTGGCTCCTTTTGATTGTTTTTATCGAATTATATATGAGTCAATAGATCTTGATTTGCTGACCATTTCAACGCTAAATCGATATATTTTGATTAGATTTTAGGTACTATGAAAGCTTGTCATTGACTACATCATCAATCACTAATTAAATGACACTCTCTCATTATATAGGTTATTATTTGAAGACAGAACACTGAAGATAACTCGAAATCATATATATATAGAGAGAGAGCGTCAGCAGTTGATTGATAATGTAATCAATGACAACCTCTCATAGTGCCTAAAATTTAATCAAAGTACATCGATTTAGTATTGGAATGGTCAATAGATTAAAATCTATCGATTCATATTAGTTCAATTAAAATTAAATCAAAAAATCAAAAAGAATCAAAACAAGTTCTTATACGTCCTTCTCATTCCATAGAGTTCAGCATAGAGGTTCTGAAATGACTGTTATTTTCCTTAACGACATCTGGCCGCGTCATTAATTCTTTCTCTTCTAAACCTGAATTGCTGATAGTAGGAGAAGCTGTCATACGCCTTAAACCTCCTTCTATTCAACCGATAGCGGACGAATTGGTCTTACTTAACCAATTTTGGATGATAGCATGTCCCTGAAATATTGCGTACATTTTGCCCTAAAAAGGATTAATATTCCATGATGGATACTTTGTCAAGTAATGTGCTTCATTATTGAAGACATGACTGTTATGTCATAGCGATATCTGCAAGTAGTTTTTATGAATAAAAACTAATGAATCTTTTCTTGCCCAGAAAAAAATGAGGTTGATTAATTAAGGTAGAATGGAGATATTCACCTTCCTAATATCGTAAAGACATTTATGGTACACACTTTACATGATCTTAGCTGTGAGGGCAAAAGCAACGGGACATCTTGAGATGTTTTCTTGCTAGAGACAGATGATGCCACCCATCTAGGAACACCATCTGTACATCAGAATCGAAGAAATAAGTCTCTAAACCTATGAAGTTTTACCAGTTGACCGCGTAACGATTTATCCTCGATGTGTATTTCTCTTATGATTATCTGCATTCTAGTGTACAACATCAATGTTCCGAGATCATGGAAATGCTAGCATCTTCCAGTAAGAATACAACTACTATCCAAATGAAGGCAACATGGTCAGAAACCAGTGTTATGTTTGTAGCGAAAGAACCATCATCATTACGACGGTTTTTTAATACTTCGTCACCGGAATACACAACAAATGATAAACGTCCAGGGAACTTCAAGGAAATTCAAATTAATTGCACACATGCTGAAGCGTTTAGGTTTATTAAAGTGAGATTATGGCGATCCAATGACAAGACAGTTGAACAGAAAGAAATTATTGACTACCTTAAATTAATTGTTGAGGATTACAAACATACATGTCAACTATCTATGAAAACGACGCTTTTACGCGAGCATATATCATCTATTGGTTTCGATGAGGCTTACAGTGGGATTACAACGAGAATGCCAGTAACAAGTTATATCTGGAAATTAACATGTGATATTCAACCGATATAATAGATATATTAATGCTCAGTGGTCTCAATTATTTGATGTGTCTTTAATTTTCCGTTTTTCAAATAAATCATCTATTCAAGATAGATATCGGCCAGCTTTTTTGTATATAGAATACAACGACAAAACAGGCTCTTTTATATTTCAATCTAAGGGTGAGGTGTGGGTGAACATCTCTTAATCCATATCCACACCCACCCACACACCCACATTCCACCCATACACCTACATCCGCACCCACACCCACACCCACACCCACACACCCCACCCACACCCACACCCACCCCACACCCCACACCCACACCCCACCCAAAAAAATATTCTTTCAATTTGATTTGATCAAATTTATAATAAATATTACTTCTAGAAGTTATAATTATTGATTATCATCATTAACTGTTGTTTTATCTGTTGTTGTTTGTGTATTTGTTTGTGTTTCATCTTCAGTTCTAAAATAAGACAAGGATCGAACTAAATCAACAAAATTAGTAGTAAATCATACCGTAGTTTATGTCGATGTAAACGTCCTCGACGCTGATTTTCACGAACAATTTTTCCATGACCATCCCAGAACAAATCAACTGCATCTTGATCACCTTGATAAAAATATGCTTGAATTGCTTCTAAAATCATTAAATGAATATAATGATAAGAATAATGTATTACAAATAGCTCACCTTGTATTTTTAATGTTCGTTCATTAATCTGTTCATGTTGACGATTTCTTATTTCTTCTTCAGTAAACAATTTGTTGATCAAGTGTTTCATTAGACCAGGTGGAGTTGGATCGAATGGACCCAATAGTAAATTTGTATTATTATATTTCTAAAACAGGAAAATCATCAGGAAAAAGTTTATGAAAAAACTTACAACAATAGGAATTTCTTTTGGTGGTTCTTGTACTGCTGGATACTAAATAAAAAAAAAAGATTTTGTCCTTCTCATATATATTCGAATAATGTCTATTTTAATTAAAATTTTTATATGTTTAGTGCACATTAGTCAAAGCCTTCAAATATGTATAAAATTGTACAACAGCAAAAGATGCAACACTCGTTCAATCCTATTCCAAATTTTTAACAGATTTTTGATAATTAACTTTACGTTTTATTTGGGTGTGGGTGGGTGTGGGTGTGGGTGTGGGTGTTGTTAAGGAAAAGACTCATATCTACACCCACACCCACACCCACACCCACACCCACACCCACACCCACACCCACCCACACCCACACCCACCCACACCCCACCTCACACCCACACCCACACACACCCACCCACACCCCACCTCACACCCACACCCACCCCACCTCAAACCCACACCCATATGTAAGTGCAGGAAAGCGGATGAAGATGTGCTGAAGCTGTATTAATTTCACTTTCGATATTTTTTTCTTTCGGCCTTTTTTTGTACCATTCGATATAACAAATTCAATAGTAAAGATCATCGTAATATTTTATATCGTTTTTAATAATCTTTTTTTTTTGTTTTAGCATTGATTGTTACGTACACAGTTACAAGAAAGATAAGGGTGTGGGTGAGGGTGTTAATGCCATCTCAATTCACACCCACACCCCACACCCACACCCACACACCCACACCCACACCCCACACCCACCCCACCCACACCCTAATCATAGAGCATGCTTTGAAGCTTATTTTTTAGACTTCGCTGCCAGAAAAAACAGAAATTAGTTTTTTGGAATGGGGATGATCGTTCCAAACACCCTCGCCCTAAATATGCCCCTGTTATTTCAAAACTTTTTACTAAGTCAGAGTAGGGAAAAACTTTTGTAACCTGCAAAAACACTGATGCTACGGACGAGCTGAATAGATCGACTACTCTTGTCTCTTAACGATTCACTAGTTGTAATAGATCAAAATGTTTTAAAAAATATACTATACGCATAAATCATCTGATATTTGACAGAATATACCCTTCAAAAAAAAACACGAGACAAAACGGGATGTAAAAGTCCTTGCTAACAAAGTATACACTTAGGATATGATCCGTAGAATATTTCCAAAGATTTGAGTCCTCTGAAATTTCCTCTTTCTTGGCGTAACAGGTTCTCTTCCAATGGATTCTATACTTTTTACAAGT